CTCAATGTTCACTAAACCTGAAGGAAGAGATGTGGTGTGCCATCCTACCGCATGGGACATGGGAAACAGAGAGGACTTCAGGTGGGGCTGATAATACTGCTTACTGCTATGCTTAGTAATGATTAACTGGTAGATAAGATGCTAATTTAAAGAATTCAATTCAGTTAAAGTATTTAAAATAATATTTCCTTTTGCTGTTTACATTTATTTGATAAAAACATTAATACTGTAAAATATTTTTATAACTAATAACTTTTCTATTTTAATATATTTTTGAATTTATATTTATTTCTGTGATGGCAAACCTGAATTTTCAGCATTATCAATAGAACATTTCAAAAGTATAGCAATTATTATTTTAAATTGAATTATTTTAACTAATTTAAAAAACTTTTTTTTTTACAGAATCAAAATGTGCACTAAAGTGAACATGGATGATTTCTTAACTGTTCACCATGAGATGGGACATAACCAATACCAAATGGCCTACCGTAACCTCTCATACCTGCTGAGAGATGGTGCTAACGAAGGCTTCCATGAGGCTGTGGGAGAGATCATGTCTCTTTCGGCTGCCACTCCTTCTCACCTGCAGTCATTGGGCCTTCTGCCTTCTGATTTCAAGGAGGACTATGGTAAAGGCCCATTGCATGCCGAGTCAGGAGTCTGACTTCATCTAAATTAATTGTGAAAACTGATTTTAGCAGATGATTCTTTACCAAAACGTTTTTTTGTATGCACAGAGACCGAGATTAACTTCCTGTTGAAGCAGGCCCTCACCATCGTGGCCACTCTGCCCTTCACCTATATGCTGGAGGAATGGAGGTGGCAAGCCTTTAAAGAGACAATTCCCAAAGACAAGTGGATGCTCCGCTGGTGGCAAATGAAGTGAGTGACAAGAAACGTACATCAGAATCCAAACATTGTGAAGTTTCCTTCAGTGTGGCTCATCACAACATTTGTTACCGTAGGAGAGAATTAGTTGGAGTGGCTGAAGCTATACCAAGAGATGAGTCGTATTGTGACCCACCTGCACTTTTCCATGTGTCTGGGGATTATTCTTTTATCAGGTAACGTGATCTGTATTAATGAAGTTTTGCATTTAACTAAGTGCTGATTGTCTTTGCCTCTACGTAAGTTGCGTTTTTTATTTGAACAGTCCTGATATCAAATCTAAAATCAAAACAATTCGTATTTCACATTAGCTGTGAATTTGAAGTCTTTGTTAAAGGCAATGCAATACAAATACAGTTAACTGTGAAATAATAGCAAGAAACGTTTTATATTGAGACCTTCGCAGACCGCACAGAACAAACATACAACGCGACCCCTGTAGTCCGATTCATGAACAAATTACCAGCCAGTTCTTTTTAGGGAATAGAAACATACATTGCATATATTCCAGACACAAATGACTCTTGAGCTGGTTCTTTCTTGTGAATCATAACATGTTGTATGACCAATGAAGTCGATTCCTGAAACAAATGACTCTTTTGAGATGGTTCTTTGTAGTGAATCAGAACATATGGCGCGCCAGGGTTGCTCAATTGCAAAAACAATTGACTCTTTTGAGCCGGTACCTTAAATTGAGCTGGTTCTTACAAAAAACAACCTGATTGTGTTATTTACAGCATTAGCTGAGAAATAATGTTTTTCAAATTGAAACAAAATGCACTTTATAAACCAGTGTTGGGTAAGTTACTTTAAAGAAGTAATTCATTACTAGCTATTAATGACATCTTCAACAGTGTAATTAGAATACTGTACTACTACTAATTACTCTCTCTACGAGTACTGCATTCGACCAGTTGAACAAAACTAGGATAGACATGAAAGTGCATAAATTATTCTTGAACTGACCAAAGTATTGAAATTTTGATGTTAAATCCACAATCTTTTTTATATAGAATTGTTCTATAGTTTATACAGTATGCAATTACATCAGAGATAACTAATTAAATTACAGTCCCTTACTTTACTTTTTCAAGGGAAAAGTAATTAATTATAGTAAATAATTATTTAGTAATGTCACACCCAACATCGATTATAACTGAGACATAGTCTACCACAATGAGTCTGATTCGAACCAAGAGCTTTCTGAATCGGAAATGAATTGGGAAATCTGCATCTGTAATAATTTGTATAGCCAGAATTATTATAAGTCTTTCTTTGTGCAATACAATATAGGCTAAATATGTGGCTAATAATCATATGATATGAATAGCTATGTCTTGTTTCTAATAGGTACTTCACTAGAACCATATATCAGTTCCAGTTTCAAGAGGCATTATGTGAGGCAGCTGGCCACACCGGTCCCCTTCACAAATGTGACATTACCAACTCAACCAAAGCTGGTAACAAACTCAGGTATGCAGAATGCTTTGTGTCTTTGATATTTCTTATTGATATACTTTCTACTTATAACTACTCACACTGCAATAGACCTGTATTCTTGGATATTAGGATAAACATAACCACTATAAACTAACTGTAATATTTTGGTCTGCAGGCATATGCTTGAGTTAGGCCGATCCATGTCTTGGACTCGTGCTCTGGAAGATATTGCAGGAACCACGAGGATAGACTCCCAGCCACTGCTACATTACTTCAGCACTCTCATGGAGTGGCTAAAGCAGGAGAACCAGAAGAACAACAGAGTGCCCGGCTGGAATGTCAATATTAACCCAAGTTAGTATTTCATTTTAACATAAACCTTACTTTTCTTTTACAGAAAGTAAAATTCCTCCCAGTTAATGTGAGAAACTGATGTAAGAAACAAAAAGCAAAAGTAACTGCTAAATGATGGGGTGTACTTAAAGATGGTTACATTTCTGTAGATTCTTTTAATAATAAATCTATGGTTAAATTATATTACCTTCATCCATCAATACAGTCCAAATAAAGTTCCAGTACTGACATGCCAACATACGCCAACATGTTGTCTGTTGAAAAATGACAACATTTTTCATTAGGCGTACTGTCTTACTCACAGCTTCCTATATAAATAATGCAGATTCCGAAAACGCCTTCAAAGTCAGAATAAGCCTAAAATCTGCCATGGGAGATGATGCAGTAAGTCTCTTTCAATTTTAACACTCATAATGAATTACAGATACAAATAGAATGTTAATTTGCTAATTATTGTTCATTCTTATCTCCAGTACACCTGGAATACAAATGAAATGTATCTCTTTAAGTCCACTATGGGCTTTGCCATGCGCCAGTACTACTTGAAAGAAAAGGGAATAGATGTGAATTTCATGTAAGTATTCTTATCCTTCACTAACGGCACATGTCAGAGTAATGAGACCATTTTCATCATAAAATTAACATATTTGTTGCACACAGGGCAGAGAACATCCAAACGTACAATGAGACCGCCAGAATCTCCTTCTATTTTGTTGTGATGGATCCAACCAAACCAGCCACAGTTATTCCTAAGGCAGAAGTAGAAGCGGCTATCTGGTATTTCTTGAAACCATACTATATAAAAATATAGAAATAAAAACATTAAATATTGTAGATTGAATAATACATTATTATTATATATTATAGAATATTATTTGTAAATATATCTAAATGTATCTATTCATATATATACGTATATATAATTTTATTTATATATAATGAATTTATTAACTATAAACTATTTAATTGATATAAAACATTTAAAAACGGAATATTAGTGTGATTATTCCATGTTTTATTCTTAATCTCAACTCAACGACTGAATACATTTGAATATTTTGGAAATAATTGAATGAATATTGGGTGCCATAACATGACATAATTATGGGGAACTAAAGCATTTGTTCCTGTGACTAAAGAATTTCCCTTGTTAACTCTTCACAGGCTGTCAAGAGAACGCATCAATGGTGCATTTCTACTCCATGATGAAACACTGGAATTTGTTGGGCTGCAGTCAACATTAGCTCCACCCAAAGAGGAAAAAATCACAGTTTGGCTGGTGGTGTTTGGAGTAGTAATGGGAGTAACTGTGTGTGGAGGGATTTATCTCATTACCACAGGGGTATTAAACAGGAAGAAGTAAGTACTAGAGGGGAAGCCCCTTCAAGAATGAGTCAATCATCGAACGTGGCTTAGAAACGTTTCAGTGACAGTGAATTATGCAATTCTTGTCCTTATAACAGATTGGTATGTTTGTTGGAATTGCATCATCATAACAGCTACTAGGGCTGCACGATTTGGGGAAAATGTCAAATTGCGATTATTGAGGTCAATATTGCGATTGCGATATATAATTAACAAATGGTTTCATGAGTCAACTTGCTTGGTTCTCAAGGAAAATGCACACACACATTAGTGATAATGCTGAAATTTCTCAACTCAAACTAGCAACAACAACTAAATGATTGATAACACCTATAATGATCAATAAGCCATCGACGTCTGGATAAAAATAATCGCATAGGCTTGACATTGCGATTGCGATATGATTAATCGTGCAGCACTAACAGCTACATACTGTATAGCTACTACGTACATGCATTGTAGACAATATAAATATAAATACACAAATAGGACATAATCCAACATCCTTTTCTGGTATAATACAATAAGTAACACTTTATTTTTAGCATCCATGTTATGGATTATACACAGTATAATAATTATTTTCTATAGAAATAGTAAAATATGGGCTTCAAAAATATTATTGAAATCCACACCTTGACCACAGCTAGTTTGTTTCTGAATTTCTTACATTGTTGCAAAAACTGAACTTGTTATGAACAAACATTCTTCCAGTAACGCTGACAGGATGTTCGTTTATAGTTATCTGGTTAGCACAAAAATGTGATTTATACATTGTTCATGGAACTTTTTTTCTGAAAAATGTCAGTTGGACATTTGTTTAACATTTTTTAAAAGCTACTACTTGTTTCAGAATGTTCAGAGAACATTCAAAAGTAACATTCCCATAATGTTTGCTAAATTTTATAATGGAATGTTCCCAACATTCGCAAAAAAAAACAAGAAAAACGTTTAGAAAACATTCAGAAATAAAATGTTTATAACTTAATTTGAACAGTAGCAAAACATTCTTAGAACACATTTTTGTTAGCTGAGTGACTGAATTATTATTATATTTTTAAAAATTTTCAGGAAAGCTAAGAAGGCCGAGGAGACTGTGAACCCATATGAGAATTCAGATGAAGGAGAAGTAAACAAAGCCTTCGAGCAAGACATTGAACAAACTGGACTGTAAAGAAAAATGGGTTTTCAAAAACATCTACTCTAACATCAGAATTGAGTGATGAAAAAAGCTTCAACATCATCGCATGCGTTTGGAGACTTTATTTTCTAATACAATGAACGGATCACTTTTCCCCCCACAAATGTTTATTTAAATGTCTGATGTGAAAGTGTAAAAAAGATACATTAACACATAATGACAAATGATGAATTTACTGTACCCAACAGGATGACTCAAATTGCTAATCGCTTATACAGACAGATGTAAATAGAGATTATAAATATATGGATAAAGTACTTATAATGTTGCGGTTTTTTTATATACTATAAAAACATACCCAGTGATGTGGTACTACAATATAATGAAAAGCGGTTCAGCATTAAAGTGCAAAAAGAAACACATTCTTAATAAAATCTTTATTTTAAATTTGAAAGGTTTTTGTGGCATCACTCTCAATTAAGTCAAAGCAGGTGCTGGATGTAAGTGCGCCTCTTATCATTTTCACAGCGCCACTGTCTACAGTGTGAATGAACCATCCTCTGTGGAGCACTGACTCAAAATGCCGGTGACCCGACGGGGTTATAGACATGTAGAAAACAAGGGCTGTTTTTTTTGGATCATCTCCAGGGATGTTTAGCTTGCTTTTGTCATACCACTGAAATAAACATAAGTTTGTTTAACTGCAGCTTATGGGAAAAAATTGATTGGCAAGTAATTTAGCATGAGCAGGGAGACTTTGTAAATATATCTTATTTTCTGAATTTTATATCCCAATGTCATGCTGTTCAGAAAATATTAAGATACAAATGGCACAATATGCAGCCAAAGCTAAAATGCAAAGTCAAGAAACAGAGAACATTATTGAAAACTTACTGTAATTTTCAAAATCTTTTCTTCGCCTTCGTTGGTGCAGCAGAAGAAGTTCTCTGTGCCAGTGAAGTTCAGCACAACAGGAACACCCGATTGTGTGTCTTTGGTGGGCATGAATCGGAAGATGGTGATTTTTGCTGAATAAATTCAAAATATGTGAAAAAATGGAAGGAAAACTGCTATAAATGTGTATTTTTAAACATACATTTTCATTATTTGAGACAAACCTGACATAGTGTCCTCCAAACAAATCTGATTATACTGACCGGATGCAATATACTTTTGGACTGATTTTGACTTCAGGAACAAATTTTTTTGTTCTTTATCTTTATTCAGTTTTCCAATTTGTGTAGAAACTGTGAAAAAGGCAGCAGAATTAGAGAACATTTTTAAAAATTTGGTTGTATTTTTTTATGAACAATAAAAATGGAACGGTCACTTCAACATTAGTTAATTCAAATGAATAAAAAAAGCTGAGGAATAAAAGATTATTTAATATTTCTTACTAATGCCAAGATCAGCTTGCTCAGGGGTGACCACAACTTCATTAAATTGGTGATCACAGCTATAGAAAGGTTTGTCAGTGTCGGGGCCTTGGTCATCAACCAGATTGAAGCTCATGGTTGCCAGGGAAACAAGCAGCTGATCGACATCATCGAAACAGTCGTCCTCAATGTCCTCATCTATCGACTTTGTTTGTGGATGTGACAGATCCTGGTGCCCACCCGTCTCCAAATCTTCCTCACTTAACATCGTCAGGCTGAATCTCAGTTTCACCTTCCTTTTCATGCCACATGCGTCCTCAGATTCACGCTCTTCTGTTTTTCCAGGGCTCGGATGGTGTACAATCTAGGAGAGGAAATGATTTGCTTCAGCGCAGTTAAAAACACATAGGACTTAGAAATGAATCCATATGAGGTGGTCTCAAAAATATTTGTTTCAAATGCCGCCCACACATGATCACATGATTATTCTGACTAGGCTAAAAGGCCAAAGGAAAAATTTCAGTTTCATTTCTCTCTTGTCATAAACATGGATGTGATCGAGTAGAAAAGGATCCTTTAAATAGAAGATCAGAAAAGGCCTAGTTCCCTTTCTCGCACTGCGTCGAATGACACTTTGGGGGAAGGCCTCAGGCGTGACAGGTGTCTGAAATCACTATCAAATCGCGGCAATTGACCGGCGACACCCTGTGAATCATTAACGTGAATGATTAACGTGCGACCTGCAAGTATATAAGGGCGCCTTGCAAACATGACAAATCATCTTTTCGACTTCAGGGACTGTCTGTTCGAAAACGCTACAAGAACGGTAAGAGAAATGAAACGTACAGCGAAGGCCGATTGCTTTCAGAAGTGTGCCGACCCGTGCCCAAGGTTTTTGACGCCGGGTGACACACATGAACTGTGCGTTTTCTGTCTGGGTAAAGAGCACGCACGGGAGGTTCTCGAGGGAGCCCTCTGTGCAAACTGTGATGCTGAACCCTCTCATCTGGCCCTCTTCTTGAGTGAAGAGGGTTCAGCATCTGGACCTCGTGGTTCAGGTCCGCTCGTGCCAAGGCAGAGCGGCGACTTGCATCATGGGGCTCCCAGATGGAGTTCGTCGATCACCTTGAGAGGGCTGTAAACATCTCAGAGGATCCGGCGACTGACGAGGGCGATCTGCAGGTCGATGATGAAGATTTCTCGCAGACTGTTCCTGCAGATAGTGCTCTCCAGGATGATCATGAGCCCCCTCAGCCACCCTACCCCATGTACGCAGAGCTGGTGGAGTTGTGGATAGTAAAGAGTTATACAATAGAGAAATCAAGTGACTAACCCCACATCCAAGCCCTAAAAGTTCATCAAACTTGGCAGAAGAAGCCTCATCCAGACAAGGAAAATGCTTTCTTACATAGTCCCTGAGCTGCAATTGTTTTTATGCAAACTGTATTTTGCCTGCAGCTGACTAAAGGAGACAAAAGAACCATCAATGAATAGGTCCCCAATATTCCGAATACCCACATCTCTCCACTTTGTGAAAGCAGAATCCATTGTAGAAGAAATTAATGATGGATTCCCTCCAATTGGTAAGAGAAAAGATAAGGACTTTATTACAAATTTTGATTTAATCTGCTTCCAAATGCGAATAGTACTATGGATTATACAATTATGATTGTAAGACAATTTCTCTATCTTTGTAGGAGACAAGATCACTGCCCCAATATCATATGGGCTACATGATTCTCTTTCCATTTGGATCCAAGTGGGGTGTGCAAAGTTGGGGTATAGCCACATTATAATAGTATGAATAGCACTGGCATAGTAATAAAGAGAGAAATTTCTTTCAGCTTTTCTACAGAAGCCTTCAGCTTTAGGCTTACAAAGATGAGCTTTACTTTTCCGATGGGCTTTATACTCCTATAAAAAAGAAATAATGATTGAATCTAATTGCTTGAAAAAAATCTTAGGTAAAAATATTGGGATGTTCTGAAAAATATAGAGAATTTGAGGAAGAAAAATCATTTTAATAATATTAACCCTACCTACCAAGGAAATAGGAAGTGATCTCCAAAACTGAATATTATTTTTCAATTTAGACACTATGAGGGGGAAGGTTAGCCTTAAATAACGACTGGAAATCTTTTGTAACCTCAATTCCTAAATACGTACATTTTTGCTGTGTTATTTTAAAGGGGAAGTGTTGTATAACAGAAAGATCTCAAACCTTTATGGGCATTAATTCGCTCTTAGACCAGTTTTTCCGGTATCCTGAAAATGTACCAAAATGAGAGATAATTTCCAAGATTCTTGCGATTGTAAAATTAGGCTTAGTGATATATAACAGGATGTTGTCAGCATACAATGAGATTTTACTTCATGTATTCTCTGTGCTATATCCATGTATCTTGAGGTCGGAACGAATAGTGTATGCTAAAGGCTCGAGAGCCAAAGCAAAGAGTAAGGGAGATAAAGCGCAACCTTGTCTGGAACCTCTGTGTAGTTGAAACGTTGAAGAGAGCATCTTATTAGTCAAAATTCTTGCAGATGGCCTACGGTAGAGAATTTCTATCCACTTTTCGAAACTATCACCAATATCAAACTTTCTTAAAACTTTAAACAGATAAGACCACTCCAATTGGTCAAAAGCTTTCTCTGCGTCAACAGAAACTATAACCAGGTCCTCTGCATAATTGTGGGAGTAAATTATATTAAAAAGACGTCTAAGATTTGAAAAGGAGTGCCTATTTGGTATAAATCCTGTCTGATCGGGGTGAACAAGTTTATCAATTACAGACCGAAGCCTGTTGGACAAAGCTTTAGCCAGAATTTTTTGGTCACATGTTAAAAGTGAAATTGGCCTATAGCTACTTACTTCTGGATCTTTCCCCTTTTTAAGTAATACTGTTATGGTAGCCTCGTTTAACGTAGGAGGTAGCATGCCAATAGTATTTGCATTAGTATACATTTTAAATAAATAGGGTGAAAAGAGATCACTTAATTGTTTGTAAAATTCACAAGAGTACCCATCAGGGCCAGGGGCCTTTCCGCACTTCATTGACCTAATCGAGTCTTGTATTTCAGAAACTGAAAGTTCTGCATTGAGGAAGTCACGATCTTTCTGATCTAGAGTGGGGAAATCACAACTATCCAAGAAATTTTCAGCAGCCAGGTCATTGATTGAGGCTCTGGAGGAGTATAATTCCTCATAGAACTGTTTGAATCTGCTATTAATGTCCGTGTGAGATGTTAATATGACACCATTTTCTGACTTAACTTTACTTCTAGTATGATCACTTTCCATTTTCCTAATTTGTCTAGCCAGTAATGAATGAGGTTTTTCACCAAATTCAAAAAAGGTTTGTTGCGTAAATAAAAATCCCCTAGCCAAACGATCTGAAAGAATCTGATTGTATCTAAATCTTAATAAGAGGATCTTCTTATAAATCTCTATGGATGGATGCATTGCATTTAATTTATCCAATCTATTAATTTGTTGTTCCAGATCTGCCAACTCAGCCCTTTTCCTTTTCTTTCTAGCAGGCTGAAAGAAAATAATACAACCCCTTATATAAGCTTTCATGGTCTCCCACAGTATTGAGGGGAACGTTTCAGGAAGATCATTCATCTCAAAGAAAAAAGAAATTTGTTCGCTTAAAAATTTACAAAATTGTGGTTCCTTTAAAAGCTGTGGGTCCAGTTTCCATATCCTCTCACAATGAGGCAAGTTAGCTAGATTTAAAGAGAATGAAAGAGGAGCATGATCTGAAATCACTATGCCCTTAGGCCTATATGCAACCTTACTGGCCAATGGCACTAATTTAGCATCAGACAGGAAATAATCAATTCTGGTATATACATTATGAACATTGGAATGGAAAGAGTATGCTCTGTCTTGAGGGTTAAAAATTCTCCAAATATCAAACAAATTTGAATTATTACAATATTCCTTCATGAAAATGCTGGAATTAGAAGGTGATGCTCTACGGGATGATGATGTCCAAATAAGGATCTAAAACTAAATTTCGGTCACCTGCAATGAATAAATTAGTTTGCGAGATGTCAGGGATCTGAGCGAAAACATGTTTAAAAAATGAAGGTGAGTCTGTATTAGGACCATAAATATTAACCAGTGTTATGGGTAATGTATATAAATCTCCAATAACAATTAGATATCTTCTCTCCTTATCTGCGATGGTTGTCTTATGGATGAATGGTGTGCCCTTTCTGAGGAGTATGGCCACCCCTCTTGATCTAACTGCACACATAGCATGATAAGTTTAACCAATCAATGGTATTGCAACATATTGCGTGACCTGGATCTTAGTTTGATGTATTCACTTTTATTAAGGCGCGTTTCTTGAAGAAAAATTATGTCATTAGATAGCATCTTTAGGCGTGCCAAAACTTTGCCCCTTTTAACGGGATGATTTAATCCTTTAACATTCCAAGTGACTATAGTAAATTGTCTCCCCTTATCCCGCTGAGTTACGTTGTCCTGCATGGTGTCGGCTCATACAATATGAATATAAACCCTATCAATGTGACATATGGTCATATACTGAATATAGATGTCCCAGAACAACCCTCCCTTTAACATGCTCTTGCCTATACTAAGAGAAACCTTCAAAGTAAGGCGCGATCCCACTTAGGAAGTTACGAGAAAAAACAAAACAAAACAGCAATAACAAGATACCAAAAAATTAACATGTACCATTCTAACTTCCCTCACTAAACCCTTCTAACAATAGAAGTTTAGAGCAGCCCCGCAAAAGGCATATATTTTGAAGTAAAAATAATTCATATATACATAATAAATATTTGAGAAACTAGACTTATTAACAAATTAAAAATATGAAAAGAGATAAATAAAAATCTGGAAGGACGATCCATCCTACCCTATTTATTTCAAAATAAACCAGAAGCCAACTTCAATAAAGATGGACATATACTTCAATTAAAGGCAATCCGCAAATCTAAAGTGAAGCTCGGCAAACTCTTCGGCTTTCTTCGAATCTGTGATCACTTTCTCTGTGCCATTAAAAGTCACTCTCAATTTCGCTGGAAATACTGTCCCATACCGCACTCCTGGCTTGTCTCGAAGTATTGCTCTGGCTCTGTTAAACGCAGCTCTGCGCTTTGCCATCTCAGGCATGAAGTCAGGGAAAACACGGATCGTCTAACCGTTAAAAGTAAGATCCTTTCGTTCAACAGCTTCCTTAGGATCGTTGTCACATCCCGAAAGTAATGCAGCCGCACTATAAGCGACCACGGCGGCTCGGTGCCCTCCGGTCGCTTACGTAAAGTCCTGTAGGCACGGTCCACTAGCGGGCAATCCTCAAGTGACAACGCGTCTTTCAAGAGTTCTGA